GCAATAAAATAACAAATTTCGGAACAACAAATTTCAGCCAACAAAGAGGGTGAATTTAACTTGTTATAGGGTGACTTTGATCTACAAACAGATGTACTTTATTCACGATGAATATAATTCCAAAAAAAAGCTGAATTCGATTTTTCAAAACGGTGAAATTCGATTTGCAAGAAGTCAATTTTGACTCGCGAAAGAACGAATTCGATTCGAAAAAAGCACAAATTCGATTTACAAAAAGCTTATATCGATTCGCAAAAGGATGAATCCGATTTTATAAAGCTGAATTCGTCCAGTGAAATGATGAAGATTGTTTGCAGAACGGTGAATTCGTAGTAAAACAAAAAAAAAAGAAAAACACGATACCAAACATTTCGAACGATTTTTCGAAAGATCGTCGCGCACAACTTACACTATGCACAGGTTCGAACGCGACCAGCGTCACCGTAAATCCGAGCAACAAACGTTTCGCGTTCAACATATTCGCTCGCAGCTGTTTCGACGAGATTTCGTACGAACGATATAAAAATCTCTGCGCGGATGGCCGGCCACCGTCTTATAAACCCTCTGTGCTCAATCACATTGTTGACGGTTCCGTACTGCGCGAACGGTTGCACATTTGCTGCATTCGAAAATGAAATGAATTAAAGGCTGCCGATGTTCTATTACGATGGAAACTGCTGATTTTCGGCCCGTTGACAAGTTCGTTAATTTTATGTAACGCGGCAAAGAGCACTCGCCTACTTCCGCAACGATTGCACAATCGAGCTCCGGCGTTTTTTTTTTTATCGCAGTTACACCCTAATATCTCTTGCCAATATCGCCTAAATGCCAATCGCCTTGTTTTACAGATTATTTGCTGATTATTATTTCGGGTCGATAATTGGAGAGGGGAGAAAGTAGAGCTGTCTTTTTTTTACGATTTTACGTTCGTTTTAGTTGATATTGTAATTAAATGTTGTATATTGTATGATATATCGATTATAATGTACTAATATAGTATACTAATTTAATATATTAATATATAGTATACTAATAATATATATACTAATATAATATACTAATATATAGTATACTAATATGATATATTAATATATAGTATACTAATATAATATACTAGTAAATATAATACTAATATGTAGTATTTTAATATTATATATACTAATATATATTAGTATAATAATATAATATTATACATATATATTAATATAATACACTTACTTACATATTAGTATATTATATTAGTATACCAATATATATAATTAATAATAATATATAATAATATATAACAATAAATAATAATATATAATAATATATAGTAATATATAATACTAGTATATTATATTAGTACATCATACAATAACATATCAGTTATATAATATAATGCAATAACGTGTGAAAACAGAACTTCATTTCGGCTTGAATATCTATATTCGGAGGCATTTTTTTAGGGCGAATGAGGTTATTTCTCGTATGCTTATTTATTAACAAAGCGTCAATTAGAAAGAACGAACAAACGTCGCCCGAAAGACGATTCGAAGAAATCGTTCACTATAATACATTAAATCGCGTGAAAATCGTTTCTCCCCGAACCAAGAGAATAATAAGGAAGTTTCTGCGGCGAGCAACGTGCTCCGCGCGTGTCTCGCGATCTAGGTGGGAGGGTGGTGGCGGGGGTGGTGTCTTCGGGCCGCGGGTCTGTTCGGGTCGCGGTTACCACGGTCTCGAACTTGCTCCGCGCAGTTCGAGATGTTTGCTCCCTTTGTCCCCGGGACCCTTCCGCGTCAGAAGACTCGGCGTTAATGGCGAACCCTTGTATCTCGGGCGCACCCTTAAAACAGGAGCATCTGGCCAGAAACCGCCCCCGCAGTCGCCATTAGTCCGAGGACCACTCGCCGTCGGCTCGATAATTACGTTTTTTTCCCTCCCCCCGGCGGCCCGTCTTTCGCCTCGATTTCGTCCAGACGCGATTAATTTCCACCTGATCGTCTCCTCCGTCGACCAACGGATCCCCCTCTTCCCCCCCTCCCCGTCCGCGTTCATTCCTTTCTCCCGCAGGGGTGGTTCCGTCACGGTCATCCGAATTCCATCCGGTCGTCTCGCTCTCTCGTCGCCGACCTCGGGCCGACCTAGGGCCGGCCGCATTCCTCGCTTTCTTTCGGGGAGAGGCTCGAAGGCTTTCTCTCGTTGCCTCTGGATACCTTTGATTCAGCTTTCTGAATAAGCTCCGGCTGTGCCGAGCGTGGCCGAGAGTGGACCTGCTCGGCGAGACGAGCGTTATACCGTCCAGCAACGGGACGGTATTTTTATCCGGATCGATGGATTTTTATTGTTCGGACTCTGGATTCTGGGAGGAACAGTTTTTTTTCATCGCGGAGGATTGTTTTCGTACTTTCAGGCATCTATCTGTTGCTGCGGATTGACTGTTGCTGCGGATTAACTATTGCTGCGGATTAACGATTGCTGCTGATTAACTATTGCTGCGGATGCAAATTCCCCAACGTACATCCGCAGCGATAGGTATATCCGCGGCAACAGATACATCCGCAGCAATAGTTAATCCGCAGCGATAATTACATCCGCTGCAATAGGTAATCCACAGCAATAGGCACATCCGCAACAATAGTTACATCCGCATCAATAGTTAGTCCGCAGCAATAGTTAATCCACAGCAATAGTTAATCCGAAGCAATAAATACATCCGCAGTAATAGTTACATCCGCATCAATAGTTAAATCCGCAGCACTAGGCACATCCACAGCAATAGTTACATCCGCATCAATAGATTCCATCCGCAGCAATAAATATATCTGCAGCAATAATTACATCCGCAGCAACAGTTACATCCGCATCAATAGTTAAATCCGCATCAATAGTTAATCCGTAGCAATAGATTCCATCCGCAGCAATAGATTCCATCCGCAGCAATAAATACATCCGCAGCAATAATTACATCCGCAGCAATAGTTAAACCGCAGCAATAGCTACATCCGCAGCAATAAATACATCAGCAGCAATTATTACATCCGCAGCAATCGGTTCATCCGCAGCAATAGTTAATCCGCAGCAATAGATTCCATCCGCAGCAATAGGTTCCATCCGCAGCAATTCGTTCCAAGAACGCGCGTAAAAGATAGAAATTCGTCGCGAGATAACTCGTCGATCGTATCGTAAAACGATTCGCGCCGAAAAAAAAACCCGATAACAGAGAAAGTCCTCGTTATAATTTCGCGGGCCGTAATTTAATGAAAACGGGAACGCTGGATCCAGATGTGGGTGAAGGAAGCCCGGTATTGCGCGAGCAAATTCTTCGGGATCGGTTCTTCGGCATCGCCTCCGAGACGAAAGTTCTCTGTTTATTGCCGGGTATTTTTAGTCGGCCAGGGGATTATGTAAAAAGCTAATTGAACGGTGATCGATTACAATAAAAAGGAGAACGCATTTTCACAGCTACGATCTCTTAATCTTCGCGAACGACACATTGAGAAACTCATTATAATATATAAGTTAAATTACAATGGATAAGAATTGAAATAAAAATGATAAATTATAAAATGATTAATGATATAATGTAAAATAGTTATAATTATAAAATAACAATATAACAAAATATCATTGCGTCAAATTATCATAGATCGCCGACTCGTAATTAAAATTGCAATTCCCGATTCCTCTCTTTTAGAAATTCATTTCAAGGGATTTAATTCATTTTAGATTGTTCGACTTTTATATTTTTGGGGGTTTTTTGAGATTGCGTTTCATTTCACTTTATTTCACTTCACTTTTCAATTTCTAATTCCTCGCCACGACTCGAAGGCGATTCGGAAGCTACGCGGCGCGATAGCATCGACGCAGCAATAAATCGCATAGACTTAGGACCGGCACAGAGAAATTCACGGCAACCCGAATGTCGGCAATTCCGGGAGAAATGATCGCGATTGAATAAATCACAAAAATAAAGTATACAAAACACATAAATAAATGTAACTGAATTATTTTACTACTTTACTACTATTATTTACTTCTATTATTTGCTTCTTTACTATAATTCCTCGAACAATTAATTTGACAAGAAAACGCGATTCTCGCGAAAGAGCCAAAATATTCTCCGCGCACAAATGAAGATATTCGCGGGCAAAGGGTTCGAGCATCATAAAAAAAAAAAATCAGAGAGTTTGAAAATCAGAAATTTCCGGCGTGTATTTCCGGACGCGCGCGCGTGCAAAGACACGCGGCGCGGCGTTCGCGTGATCCTATTAGCTTTCGTTGACGGAGGCCGGGACAAATTAGAAGAGACGAAAACGGTTCCCGGTGAAGTAACAGGCCGCGGTACCTCGTTCGAATGCTTGCGGAAGGGTTGAACAACAAAGGGAAGCGATCGCGGCCGATCCTCTTTCGCCGCGCGTTAACGAGCCGGCAATCTCGGCTCGCGTGCGCGCCGAGATACAACCAGCTTCATCCTGTTTCGCGAGGGAACGCGGAAGAAAATCGGCGGCCCCCTAAAGAAAAAAGGGAAAAAGAGGAAAAGGGGTGGGGAAGGGGGAAGTAAGAGAGAGGAACGGGGGACGAGTGAGACGACGTGGAAATGGAAGGAAATCGTGGAAATGGAAGAAGGACCGCGACCGCGAGCTGTGAGAATTACGTGACCCTCAGGCAGCCGCCCTAATTAAATGCCTTTAATTAGCGGTAATAAGCGAGCCTGCGTTTCGAGCGGCACGAGGAGTTGCGCAACGAACTTTGTCTTCTGTCGATAAGCCTCTGTTTTTTCTTTTTTTGCGCGCGCGCGCGAAGAATTATTATAATTGTAGACGGCGCGGATGCGATGCACGCGAACGGGCGGAAGATTTGGAGGATCGTTGATCTTATTCCAGATCAAATTAAGACGTTATGCGATCCATTATTATGCCGGGTTTATATGCGATCGCGTTATTGGACGCGATCGTTCTGTCAAGTCGATCGCGATTTTTGGGCCGCCGAGTGCGCAGACTTTTCTTTACAATTCTCGTTTTTAGATGAATTGCGTTATTTGCAATTATTATTTATATATTTATTTATTTATTTTATTCATTAACGCACGTCCGGAGAAATCGCATGTCAAAGGCCGTGATTGGCGACTGCAATCGCATTGTTTCTTTCTTTCTTTCTCTCGCCGAGCCTAAGATCGCGGTATAAAAAATAAACTAAACTTAGTTTAGTCGCGCGAAAGAAGCCAAAGCCGCAATTTGCTTGAAATTCGCCGCGGAAAGAGTAAGTTTTCGCGAATCGGCGCCGTCTACTGCCTAGCTAATTCGGCCCCACGGCTCACGAGACTCCGGGTTTTAATTGAGCGGTAATTAGCATGACAAAGGGAGGGGCGGCCTTTAATCGCGCGACCGGGGCACGGCGATTAATTTACTAGGCGGGCCCGGGTACATCCCCCACCCCTCCCCCTCGTCCGGGGAACCTGTTAAAGTTCGAGCTGTTCGTTTGCTTCGTGTTTTT